AATCAAAGAACATTTCACTGAGCTAATATCGTAGGGCTGAAAATTGAGGAGGCAATCCTTTTTCATTTCGTTGAGTTTTCAGAATTGTATGCCCCCTCAAAAATCACATACAGACATTTATGCAAAATCAGAGCATGCATGACTTAGGTTGCCAGGTAAAACCAGTGTACAATATTAACTAAATTATGTGTGACTGTTACAGAGCCGACGAGAGGCGTGCGGATCCATATGCAAAGCTTTTATTCTAAAACAAAGTCAAAACAAGCAAGGGTCAGATAATGGCAAACAGGTATATTGAGGGCAAGACACAAGAGTAGTCCAGTGAGCAGGCGTGGTCGATCTCCAGCGAACAATGTCCAAACAGGGTATTCCAAAGAGTTAATACGAAACACAAGCTATGGTCCAGGTGAGGGGCAAACAGTATTCGAACAGGGCGAGACGAGAGGGAAAATCAGCAAACTAGACGACTAGAACTCAAACTAGGAACGGGAACTGGCTCTGTAAAGTAGCTATCGACTAGGGCAGCGATATACGCTACAATACTCTGCAGTGAGAAAGATTGGATTTAGCTGTGTGTAATCAGTGCCTTCAGCTGTGTACGTATAATCAGTGCAATGGATGATGGGAACTGTAGTCCGGGGTGAAGTGCAACAGTTAGTGTGGTGCAAGGGTCCATAGTAGTGAGCGAGTGATCTCTGGTGGTGAGCGAACGGAAGTGCATGGACAGGATTCGTGACAGTGACATGGTAAACTATACTAGTCATACACCATACACAATAAAGAAACATATTTTATTTAATTCCCGGGTCAATATCACCATAGAGTGCCTTTCAACCTTCACAATACTCAAAAATTTTGGTTTTAATTAATTTCCTATTCACTTTATGTCATATCATGAATAGTACACACTCAAGTACTATAGAAACATATTAGCTGAGCTCCGGCACATCTAAATTTTTTTAGATAATTATGGGCCATTATTCGAAGCATAAACCATAAGATATATCCACCCAGTCATGGACATATATTACTGTTAAATACGTTTTCATTGCAAAATGAAGATGCAAATTATATTTTCTGAAAGGTATGATGTCCCTTTCCTAAACAGGGTTATTAAAAATAATATAATAATAATAAATAATATAATTACATCCTCAATCACATTGATACCCCCCCATTTATTTTAGTTATTAGCAATATTAACTACAAATGAATGCTGTCCACCCTGTAATGTATCATGTATGTGTCATGTATGTGTCATGAGTCTAAGTGGCTGACAGGGTGGACATTTTGAGCTTCAATTAGCATATTAGCTTACAACAAACTGTGACTAGCTAAATATTTAGTCTGGTTGTTGAAGAGAATTTGGCATATTTAAACTTACATATTTTGAAAATAATGTATTCGAATCACTTCTGGCATATTTTATGGCAATAAATAAAAATTATTAAATAAAAATATTGTTTTTATTACCAAATGATCAATACACTCAAATTGAGTAATATCTTATTTAACAAAATATTAATAGGAGAACAAAATGTTTTTAATGTTATGATTTGACAATATTCTACTATCATTCAAATTCAATGAGCAGTGCATGGGACATAGCAAAATAACACGCATCCTTTTACAAAACAAATCAAAAACAAATCTAGAAAATGTATCTAAAGCCAAGTAATGCTTTTGTTATGAATATAAAAACTTAGCCTAATATAACACACACCCTTTCATAGTCATTTTTATGTTAAGTTATCATGGCAAATGAGTTGTTAATGTACAGGACACCAAAAGGCACCCTACAGTGATATTGACCCTCCCATGAAGTTGTAAATAATGAATAGCATTGCATGGGTCAATGATGAGCATAGTGAAAGTTTGCATCAGGTTCTGTTGTATGCAAATCAGACAGACAAATCAATAATGATCAACAGTTCCTACTGATTTGATTTAACTATATGTAAATAGCTGAAGAAACAAAATTTGCCAAGTTTAAAATCTGACCAATCAGCATCAAGTAGAGTTGTGAGTCATTCACCTTGCTCATTGCTTTCCTCTGTTTCTCAGGAGTGTGTGAGGAGGTGTGTGCAGGATGCCGAGAGAAGTATTCGTGAGGAGTGTGACCTGAAGTCAGAAAGAGAGAAACGGGCCCTACAGGACAGACATGAAGAGGAGATATCTGAGCTACAAAGCAGGTAAAAATACCCATGAAACACCCTTCCTGCTCACCCCAGCTTCCTGTTGTGATGCATCTCAGCTATTCTCTTTCTCTTTCCCACCTTTTGTAAATTTCATTCGTTTCTCTCTTTGCATCTCTCTGCTTTCTCCCTTTTCTACAAGAATCCTAGAATATATAGATTTTGTTGCCTTCAACAGTTTCTCCACAACTTTCTTTCTTTCTTTTTTAAAAATAATGTTCTGAAATGGTGCATGACGGTGCGTGTGTGTTCCAGGATACAGCAGCTGCAGGACAGTCTGGAGCAGGCCTGCAGGGAGCGCATTCAGTATGAAGCCGAGTTTAAGGTCAGCCCTTGTAATGAGGTCATCATGAATAAATGAACAGCTCTAAAAAGGGACCTGCTCAAATCCAGCATCTGCAACACCCTGCAACAAAATGACGGAATAACAGAGCTTTCTCTTTTCCCGTGCCAGCACGTCCTCGGACGTTTGGTTCTTATTAAGCTTAGTTTGTTTCCCCCCCATGCGTCTGTGTTCCTCCCTGTCTTAATAGACAACAGTATTGACATTTGACCTTTTGCTTGAAGACGTTTCCATCTTTGGTCGTTATGATGATCCACCTGTCTAACTAAAATTCAGTCAGCATGTTTGAGTGCTTCCATCTTCTTCCTGTCTTTCAGAAGGTGCAGGCCAGCTACAGGCGGTTTGTGGACTTGACTGATTCCTCCCTCCACTCTGATTACCTCTTAAAGCTGCGCAGACTGGGGAGAGAGCCAGGTCTCATGGACACTGCGACACAGACTGATGAGATCACCTCCTAACAGTGATCTTCACAGTGATCACAGCGTCTGGGTATTTGACATGACATGTCACATGCTGTACTTGGTCTAAAATCATTTTTAAGCATTTGTCAAACATTTTCTAGAAACTATAGGAATATTTGTCATTTGATGCACAGTAGAATTATTTGAGTGCACCGCAAAAGCTTGAAAGTGGTACAAAACTATGAAAAACATCTCAAATATACTTTCCTCCATACGTTTATCTTCCTCAGTCCCAAGATTGAAAACTTTACAACCTATTTTTTAGTTATGAAACGTGTTGACAGTTGCATAATAATAAATGGGGAAAATGCATATATATATTACTGTACTTTATAATGGTATATTAAAATGTAAATGTTTGCAGTTTTGTAAGATTAAAGTGAGTACAGCATATTTTCTCTGTCTGCATGTAAAACTATGTTGAACTAATAGGTTTAACTAACAGATACCGTTTTAATAAATAAATCTGAATATTTAACACCATTAATCTTATTTTACATTGTAGTGTACAGATTGACACTACTGATGAACAACATATTAAATATGTAATAATGTCCTGGAGCAGCTTACACATTGTTATCGTTAGGCCTATTTGAATTACATTAACATGTATTGTGTGTATTGTTACCCACTGATCCAAATGTACAGTATACTAGATATTTTCACTGGAAATTGTTGTACGAAAAAATATATATGTGCCCTTTCACAGCAAGATTCCATAATGACAAATAGGCACACATATTACAGGTAAAAAAAACAATATTTTAAAAAAATATTGGTGCTGTTGCTAACTTGCTACACAAAGAATTTCCAAACAAAATGACCTAGTTTGCTAAGCCTAGCTATTTATCAACTACCTGCTCTAAATACCATTTTCAAAATGCCATTTGAAGTCTTTTGATGAATTGGGACTGCAGTAGAATATAAAATAAATGTGACATGAATGGATGAAATTGACGGATTAATCGTTTATAAATGTTATATTAATATTAGATCAAATTGATATGGCTGTCCAAAAGGGCGTCCAAATTCCCAGGGCGCTATCTAAAGGGTTGTGGGCTGTAGTAGCATTACTTCACCGCCGGGCATTTTCAAAATGCCATTTGAAGTCTTTTGATGAATTGGGACTGCAGTAGAATATAAAATAAATGTGACATGAATGGATGAAATTGACGGATTAATCGTTTATAAATGTTATATTGTCCATATATGTCCAAAAGGGCGTCCAAATTCCCAGGGCGCTATCTAAAGGGTTGTGGGCTGTAGTAGCATTACTTCACCGCCGGATGTCAGTGTAGGCAAGCTTTTACTCCTCCGCCTTAACGCCTTGGGTCGCATCAGCAGCGCTCAGTCCTTAATACACTTCCTAATCGTAGTTTTCAGATGTAATAGACAGGCATACAAACACAGTTAATTACCAATTTTTTCACATACGCAGAATGCTGAAAATCGTTGCAGTTTCAATCGGACGGTAGAGATATTTCTTAAACAAGCTCTTTATCTGCTGCATATCTTACTAAGCTTGTCATTAGTGTCGTTACCACCAGCATGAAATGTTATTACATGCACCGTTACCAGCGAATGCACTGGGGGCGCTGTAGCTCCGTAAGCCGTCGCTTCTGAATGCACGGCGTTGATCGGTGCGATCGGGTGCCGGGGATCACGATCATCATATCAAACGGAAAGAGAAGCAGTCGCAGAAATGTACATGCACTGAGACTGGTGCTATTTATTTATGGATACAGAGAATCATTTACATGAGCATTGGGAAATAATATGTTTGCATGGTATATGGATGTGTTCGTGACTGACGTGATTTACTAGCACCTCCACTACATGCGGAAAAACAAATCCCCCAAAGAAACACCCGCTCCGTTAGTGCGCACTTCAGCCGGAAGATGGGATTTTTTTTATTCGAGCGCGCACACCTCCCCTTTCCCCCATCCCTCCTGCTCCCTCTCTCTCTTTCTCTTTCTCAAACAGCTCAGTCTGTCAGTGCGCGCCGAGCGTTAGGAACAAGTCTCACTAGTCGGATTTGCAGCCAGAGAGAGAGACGCATCGAGAGAATCCAAGCAGGACAGACGAGAAATGAACTATCTAATGACTTGCCACATCCGAGCACATTCTCAAACACCCTGCATCCGAGACCCATGAATAAGGATTGCAATATTTTTTTCCCACCCTGGAAAATCTGGCAATAATTTTGTCGGTCTCGGCACATTTGTAAATGTGTGTCCATTTGATATGCTTGTTTTTAATGTGCATTGATTAGTTAATTATCCGGATTGCTTGCTGCCCAACATTTCGAGTGCATGCGGAATTATTGGAATCTCAGAGGCAAGCAGGAAAATCCAATTGGAGAACTAGAAGAGAGAAAGAGAAGCAGTGAGATCTGTCCAGCATCATCAACATGTTCTTCTGAAGAGGCGAGGAAAAGCTCATTCCCAAACCATCATCCATCACATTCCCGTCCTAATTCAGGGGGGAAACTGAATGAAGCGGGAGTGAAAAAGGAATGGGAAAGATAGGTCCAGTCTGAAAGCCGCTGGAAAAAGCTAAACAATATAAGCACCACGAAACAATACTGGAAAAGTAAACTCTTGCAAGAAAAATTGCAACAAAACGGCTGTGGGAATTGAGTTTCGTCCACGAGCTACTTTTCCCTAAAGACATTTTTTTGTGGAATTCGCTCCTTAAAATCCACACAGACTGCACCTTTGTTTAATCTGTCCTCCCGTGTGTGTGTGTGAGTGTGTGTGTGTGTGTGTGTGTTTTAGTAGATATCCATGCAGGCTCCCAAAACACGTTGTTCCAGATCACACTGACGGATTCACCTGAAGCACACACGCTTTGTTCCGAGAGATCCCCAACCTCTGGGAGAGTATCCCACACAGCTTTGATGGGAGTAAATAGACGGAATTCGGGATTTCAAATGGCGAGTCGGGGTTGTGAAAATGGATTGGGAATTCTCCTGATATTCTTAGTGGATTTACTCGGGATCACGGCGTCCAACATGGAGCCCATCTACTGGAATTCCTTGAACAAAGGGTAAGAGCCGCAACTAAAGGCATTGGGCACGGCGTTTATTCCCCGTTTATTTAAGAAGAGCTTTGTGTTGGAGATAGTCAAACGCCTAGTATTTTCGAAACGTCTCTCGCAGGGGGAAAGAAAGCTGTTAAGCGCTATTACGCAGACAAGCCCCTTAGTGGATAATCAGGAGTCTGCAGAAGTTACGAGCATCAATGTCGCCAGACTAATAAATGCCACATTTCATTGCCGGTGTGTGTCGAGGAATAGCCGCCACAGTTACACAGCCAGTTTCACTGGCTCTCCTTCAGATACGCTCCAGTTAGATTGGCATGAATTTTAATTGCTCAACACCAAGTATTTTCCCGTCTTAATGTCATTTAAACAATGTAACCTTTGTAAAACGTCCTTGCTTAACTTGTGGGAACGCGTAGAAGCCACCAGAGCTGCTTCAGTCACCAGTTTAACTTCTGTCAAACAAAAGAGATCGTTCTGCCAAGGTGCATACTTGAACATATCATCGACACCTATGTACACCGGCCATGCAAAAACGTTTACATGAATTCAAAACCATTTGCACTTTTATTCATACGTGACAGCTCTGTAAAATAGGCTACAACTCCAACTTTAAACGCAACTGAAAAATGAAAACTGGTAGAACCTTCTTGGGGACTAATATGAGTTAGCAACTTATCTGCGGTCATGACAGTACTTAAAACAAAAGAAGGTGTAAGCTTTCACTCTTAGTCGACACCTTACTGGAGACTAGTTAACGTGGAAACGGCTAAAGTGAAAAGTTTTACACGCAGGTGTTAACTTTAGATGGTCAATCAGTCCCATTTCACGCTACACAATTTATTACTCCAGTCACGGAGGTGACACGATTTCCCCTGCCGCAGGAAGGGATAGTGGGTCATTTACAGCTATAGATTTCTCGTAGTATATATCTGTAAATAAGGGGGCGGTTTCTGCAACCCAGCATCTGTGAATTCATTTAGTGGGGAGCCAAAGAAACCCGTGCAAACGGCGTGTCCGGCACATAAACGACGATTTATGGCCGAGCAGACCGCTTTCTTTCTTTCTTTCTTTCGCCCTTCTGTCATTACTGGGCTTGTTTAAATGGACACCCGGCGTCGTGGGAGCACTTGTGTGCCCGGTCTAAATCGGTATGTGGGTTATGAGGGGCTATTAGTGGTGCCACGAGCTCTTGAAAGACGAATAGGTTTTTAATGTGTCCATGTGGCGCATATACCGGGCTCTGCGCTTCAACAGATGCTGCTGGGGGGGATGGAGGGGTCTATTCTGTCCCAGTGGCCGCTGGCAGACGCTCTTAATGAGGGTTCTTGTCGGTGTTGCTTGTGTTAATCTAGCAGGGGTTTGTGGGGACCTCATTTGAAACGGGAGCGCAGGTGGGGGGCATGACCGTGACCATGCGTTTTCTGCTTGACCTTCACCTGAGAAGGAGAGAAGGAGAGGAGCACCGATGACAATGGTTTTTAACTGATTCAATCACTTGTAATCGATGTAAGTCGATCAGCAGTGGGCGCTGGTTTTCTCACGGATTCTTCGCACTTTAAATGATCCGAATTTTGCTTCATTTCACAGTGGAAATGCTCACAATTAATACGACTTTGAAAATCTGGAATCTGGGGGTGCAAAAAAACAACAACTGATTATTGAGAAAATCGCATTTAAGTTTGTCCAAATGAAGTTGATAGCAATGTATATTACTAATCAAAAACTATATATTTACGGTAGGAAATTTACAAACTATCTTCATGGAACATGATCTTTAATTAATAAGATTTTTGGCATAAAAGAAAAATCGATCATTTTGACCCACAGTGTATTGTTGGGTATTGCTACAAATATACCCGTGCTGCTTATAACTGGTTTTGTGCTCCAGGGTCACATATTGCCGTCAGTGTTCATTTTACACATTTACATACTCACTTAGTAACACTTGAAATTAACAAAAAAAGAAAACAAAACTGTGTTGTTTTTATGGGCAGCAGTGACGGGCTCCAGGATTTTTTTGTTTTGTTGGGGGTGCTAAGGAGGGGCTTAACAGTTCAGAGGGGGTGCTAAAAAACGAATTAAATTGAGTAAAAGAAGTGAACATCTATAAAAACCGCAGCTATCTAAATAGGATGCAAATTCAGTCACCTTGTGTTTTTTATATACAGCAGCTTCAAAAAAGGCAAAAAATATATATATTTAACTTCTCATATGCCACTGTTATGAGTAATATAACTTCTAATGCCAAATGCCAAATATGACACTTACAAATTAAAACAATTTATGAACGCACATAGAAAAGAGAGAAAGTAGCGATTTTTTTCTTTTTTCATTGTTTTATTTAATTTAATTTAAAAAAATGTACACTATCTATTTAGTCATTTTTTCTGACCATCAAGTGTCAGTCACTCTCAATGCCAACTGGCAGGAAAACATGGTAAATTCTAACCATTTTTTACAATAGATAAAGTGCTGACAATTCATACAACTATTTCCACACAGTGGCATAGCGGACGGGCACGCACGGGCACTGCGGTGGGGCCCCGCGATAACCTCCCCGTGCTGAGATGCGTCCTATCATGTGTCGACGATAGCCAGAGATATTGTCAAAAGCATAAAAAATTGGCAATATTAAGAGGATTTCGCATTTCCAATTAATGTACGCCTGTTGCATTCTTCTTATTATTAGGCCTATTATTATTATTAGGTTACTTTTATTATTAAATTACATGAAATTATTGCCCCGCAATAATTTCATAGCGCATCACCGCATGACGCGCTGTGAGGATAATTAAAGTTTAGGCTATTAGCTTACTCCTCATTGAAAATGTTTTTTAAAAAAGGTCTATTCATTTATACAATGAATTATAGGCCTATAATTAAAATTATTAACACTGCAGTCATCAATGAAAATTAAGAGCTGCTTTATTTCCTGCACCGATTTTCAAAAACATCCTGTTTTCGTCTCATGTTTTTCACTATACGGGTAGTTTCATCTCTCGTTGTTTCAAAGAATATGCGGCGTAAATGTAGCCGTAGAAAGCTCCGTCAGTTTTTTTACTTTCACATTCTCTATAGTGAATTGACTGACGTTCACTGGCATAACTCTTGTGCACAGTTTGCGCATTGCTTGACCCCTCCCCCATAATATTAATTGTTTATAGGCCACATATTAAGCACTTCTTTTCTTTTTTTTTAGGTTTTTAATGTTTATTTTTCAATGTTAAAGGGGTCATATGATGCGATTTCAAGTTTCCCTTTCTCTTTGGAGTGTTACAAGCTGATTGTGCATAGATAAGATCCCTGAAGTTGCAAAGACTAAAGTCTCAAATCCAAAGAGATATTCTTTATAAAAGTTAAGACTCTGCCACGCCCCCCTAAAACGGCTCGTTCTAACACGCCCCCACATATCTACCTCACTATGTGGAAATATTTGCATAATGCGCCCAAATGTTACATTTATTTTGAAAGATGAAGCTCACGATTATGGTAAGGGGCATTACATTTCCAACCAGTGCTTGCGGTGTTCGGCCAATCACTATGTACTTGGTCCAACTGGCCAATCAGAGCAGACTGCGCTTGTCGGAAGGAGGGACTTTGTAGAAAACGAAGCGTTTGAGAGAGGCGGGACATAGAGGACCTACAATAATGTACAGTATTTGAAAAATAATGTGTTTTTTGAACATTAAAGCATGTCAACATATTCTGTTACACCAAATACACAAAATAATGATCTTTAAAAAAGCATCATATGACCCCTTTAATGAAAGTGACACCAAAAAACAGGAACATCGTTAGGAAATCCTTGGGGGGGCTGTGCCAGGGCTAAGCAAATTTCTGATGGGGCTATAGCCCCGTCAAGCCCCACCCTAGCGCCGCCACTGATGGTCAGTCCATTGAATTGGCAAATGAAGCATGCATTGTTAATGGCTCACAATATCAAAATGGCAAAATATTGGCAGATTAATTTGCCTGGACAATTTGCCTTACGTGTTAAGCACCATACATTACACATTAATTCATGTTTGGTTGCATTAATCACTTATTATTGTGTCACATGTTAGCTTGAACACTGTAATGTAAAGTCTGGTTTCTTTACACAAACACAGCGTCGCCATATTCATAATTGATTTGAAAATACACTGTGCAGTGTAAATTTGGCTGCTCATGCAGACACACACTTACAAGACATCTGCACCGTGTGGTTTTGCTCCAGGCTACAGGAGTCTGCTCAGTTCGCACTAAAAGTAGCTGTACGCAGGTTACATTGTTGGCAGTGCTGTATATTTAATAGGGATCAGTGACCCTCTGCTCCTCAGTGCTTTGAAGATGAGGTCCTGCACCTGTAGAATGTTTTATTCACCCGCTCTATCCCACCACTCTCTCCGTCACTACTACTACTCCATCTCAGCCTCTCACGATGGCGCTGCCTTTCTCCTCCTTGTGCGAAATTAGAAACATGTGTAGCCTTCAGAGGAGCGAAGAAACAGCTAAGAAGTGATGGGGAGGAAAGAGGGATCGAGAGAAGAGGGAGGAACAGCAGGGCGCATCCTTAAATGTACAGAAATCAATATCTTCTAAGCCATGAATGTCAGTTTGAGTTAGGCTTAAGAAAATGCAAGTCCAGCACAAAGATCACCTTGAAATTGTCTGCTTAGGGTAAAAAAATCTATAAAGCAAAAATTGTGTTTGTTCTTAGACACTGCAGTTTAATGTAATTCCGGAATGTATATTTAATTAAGGGGGCATAGATGAAAAATGGTTTCTTGAGATTGAATAGGCAGGCACGAAGCAGGACTTCGAGGGCTTTTTTTAGTAAACTGTAATGGTGTTTCTCAGTGAGCTGGCTTGTCTGTGAAGCGTCCTTCACCTTCTGACATTCACACCCCTTGATACATTGTTTACACACAAGAAAGACAAAGTGTGTTTGTGTGTCCTTGGTACCCGGCCCTCTCTGGATGAGCAAACACATCTCTGACTGATGTTCTCAGGGGTCAGTTAGG